AAACAAGTAGGATGACGCTTCTGGCACTTGTCACAAACACTCCTACTGATGCAACTCTTTGAGTGATGACCGTACTTCAGACAACCAAAGCACAACTTTTCCATTTGAATGAATTTAACTCTATCATTAACTGCTTTCTCCCCGAACTTCCTGCATTGGTGCAATGTATGCCCAGTCCTTTTGCACCTCCTCTTTGTCATTCTCTTGATTGTACACCAGCATTCTCGCCCTTGCTGCACTGAGATCCTTCATTGCCTCCAGATGCTGTAATTTTCTCCGCTTTTCCTCCAGAGTCCTTTGTAGAGCTACGTGCTCTTCCTCTAGTTGAGCCTTAATTTTAGCTTCTTCTTCCTCTCTCTGCATTCTTCGTTTTACCTCTTCTGCCTCTCTTTCTAACCGACGTTTTACTGCTGCTGCCTCCTGCTCAGCTATCTTTTGCTTAGCTTCAGCTTCTAGACGCTCGATTTCTAACTGTTCTTTTTCTTGTTCTTGTAACACTTTAAGAACAGCCTGACTTGCAGCAACATCAGCAGCAGCATCTTGTCGCCTTGCAGAAGACCTGCTTGAAAGTACTGAGGTGCCTTTCAAAATGGAGGCAACAGAACCTGAATTGCAGGTGCTTGAATTAAAGAGAGAGCCTGCTTCTGGCCAGTCTTGCTCCTCCTTTTTTGCAACCTACTTGAGGCTCTGGATGCAACAAATGTAGAAATCTCTACACACCGATCCACTCTACGACGCGTGACCTGGTCTGGAGCAGAGATCTTTCGTAGCTCTTCATAGACGCACTGGACATCTGCAGAAAGACCTGTGATATCACTTATAATGTCATTAAGCAAGTCCTCAGATAAGGTCTCTGTTGTCTGTGATAAGGATTGTCTTGCAGATTTAACTTGTGTTTTCCATTTGTCATATATATAGTTAAACCTTTGCTGGAGTGCTTTAATTTTCTCATCTTGCATTTCTTTGCCTTTCTCTGTTAGAGTTCTGATTCTTTCACTTCGTCTTGGCTGCTGCGCTTCCTCTTGCTGAGCTTCAGCACCATGCACTTGACCTTCTTCAGACTGATCTTGAAAGTCTGCACTGTCACTAAACTGAACTGTAGGCTCGCTTGGTTCTGACATTTTACAGCACTTCTTAATCAACCCACTTAGAAATAAGAAATGTAGATGGTTAACCAAGCCTCAATGTTTAACACTTACTCATATGTAAATGGCACAAAAATAACACAGTTCAAATGGAAGTGTTATCTTACAAAAATACACCTGATAATAAACTTCAAAACAATTCAAGAATTTACATCCAAAACCTTCACTTATTGCTTCCCAAATGCACTTTTACCTTAAAATCTTCAAAGGTTTTAGCTTACACACCAAAATAAGATGTACTATACACCACAGTAGTTATCAATCACAGTATTCTTCAGCAATGTTTGCAAAAGTTCCTTCTTAGGCCACTTAACTTAAACACCTTTCCTTAAAACACTGCCCTTTAATACTTGTGCATGTGTCATATCACCATATGCATATAGTACTTTCAGCTTATCTGCCAGTTCTGCGCTGTAGACATGTAGGAACAAGCTCGCTGATGCTTTGAATTTGCTGCATCGTCAATTAGTGGCCGCTTGCGTCGACGAACAGTCCGAGTTTTCACTATAATTCCCTCGAAGCACAGGCAGACGCAAGTGGTTTTCTGTCACTGGTTTATTTGAAGACTTCTCTCCAAAGCCACCGTGAAAACTATACAGCATTAACAAAATAAAACACAGCAGTAAAAACACTGTACAACAAACACGATAAATAAATAAATAAATCGTTGGCTGCATGCTGCAAAAAGGGAATTAGCTGCCGTTCTTCTGAGGTTTCCTTTAACCGTTTAACCGTGTGTAGTCAAAGTCCACTTAACATGTCTTTCAATAAAAACCATCCTTTCTGCGCGCTTGCAGGTGTTTTTCTTCGTTCTACCCAAAGCGGAAACTAGCGCAACTTGTAAGCGAACTTGACTTTCAAAATAAAAGCACCAAAACGTTGACTACAAAAACCAAACAAAGTAATGTACAGCTTAAACAATTTACGATCATGACATGGATTTTCACAAGATAAAGAAATAATCCAAATTATATACAATGTCATCATGCCAACAGTTACACCTGACATTTTTTTATGTGAGTCTGAGACCTGACATTTTTTCATACGGAGCCCCGCAGGGGACATGGGAGAAAAAAAAATTAAGACGGACTTTTGCGAGATCTCGCAAAACTAACTCGGGATCTCGCAAAACTTTTAGCCGCATTCTTCGGACACCGGCTCGAAGCCGACCGGGAGGTCGAGGCACGATGTGCCGGGAAAGCGGTGTTCCTCCCGGCTGTAGTAGGTCTCGACCTCCCGTTAGCTTCGAGCTAACGGGAAGAATGCGGCTAAAACTTTTGCGAGATCTCGCAAAAGTTTTGCGAGATCCCGAGTTTGTTTTGCGAGATTCCGAGTTTGTTTTGCGAGATCTCACAAAAGTCCGCCTTAATTTTTTTTTCTCCCATGTCCCCTGCGGGGCTCCGTATTTTCATGTGAGTCTGAGACCTGACATTTTTTCGTGTGAGACTGAGACCTGACATTTTTTCGTGTGAGACTGAGACCTGACAACTTTTTTCCTGAGACCTTACGATGTCCTAAAATGTACACCGTACTCCCGGTTGGCTGAACTCTAAAGGAGAGGCCAGCCACCCTTCGGAGGAAGCCCATTTCCGCTGCTTGTATTCGCGTTCTCGTTCTTTCGGTCACTACCCACAGCTTGTGACCACAGGTGAGGGTAGGGGCATAGACCGACCGGTAAATTGAGAGCTTCGCTTTTATACTCAGCTCTCTCTTCACCACAACAGACCGGTACAGCGTCCGCATCACTGCAGCCACTGCAACATTCAATATTTATAATTTACTGTTACTTGTGCTTATGTTGGCTGTTGCTGTGGTTTGCCTCTTGTGATGTTTTCTTTTTTCTTGTTTTTTTTTCAGCAGGTGATTAAACAGATTTTCAGTGTCCTTTCTCTCTGTCTCTCTTCTCCTCTAGTTTTCTTTCTCTCTCCGTCGTTAACTCAGTTCCCAATTTCTCTTTTTCTTTCTCTTTCCTGTTCCCCAGCCCAGTCCATTCTGACTGTAAAAATGTAAAAGTTAAATAAATAAATAAATAATAAAGATCGATTAAACTATGACAACAAAATCCACCAGTATACCAAAAGCTGTAATGATCCACTCAAGAAAATAAATCTGTTGGACATTTGTCTTTGCCTTCAGACAGTAATTCTGATTGCTACAGTGCTGGACAGGCAAAAAAGAAAAGAAAAGAAAGAAATTAAACTTGATTAGACCTCTCGTCTGTGTGTGTGGGTCAGTAACAAGAAAAATAATACAGTTTGTCATATACATGCAATGTAAATACAAATACAGTTATAAAATTATACATTAAATATGAAATTTATATGAAATTTAATTTACGTCAACTGTTGCTTAAATACAATATTCATCACAATAATATAACTAAATCAGAACTTCCTGTTTAAGCTGAACAAAATAAACCAACTCCAATCAATAAGGTGCCACTTATATTTATTTAATTATTAATAAGGAACTCCATTAGCTTCCACAACAGTGGTTGCTAATCTTTCTGGGACCCAAGCCATCAAATATAATCCAATAAAACATTATGGTAGCTAAACACTATTGCCAGAGATGCCAACAGGATCAACAAACTAATTCACAAGGCTTTAACCATTATTGGCCGGAGTCAAAGAGGAATAGGAAGTCACTGCAAAAACTGCTCTCAATCATAGAAAATACATCCCATCCACTCCACTTCATGCTGCTGTGAAAACAGAGTTCATTCTCCCTCAGGCTTATTTAACCTGGCTGTAATAAGGAATGCTTCAGGAACTCATTCCTGCTGTTTTCTGGGAAACTGTACAATGATTCTTCTGTCTGTACCATACCTTATTGCAGCTGTTTTAGATTTATCTGCACAAAATATCTATTTGTGCAATTTGCTCTTCTCTCTGGCACAATCTCAGCCCTTACTATACATCTCTGAAATGGTATTACCAAGCTGGTGCTATTCAGTTTAAGTCTGTTCCACACTAAGTGAGCCTGTGGCACTTTCACTTTCACTTTAGCTAAGTTGTTTATGTGCTATGGACTGCACTATTTTTATTCTTTATTCTGCTGCTATAAAACTATCATTGTCCTGGTAACATTTAAACTGATATGTTCTGTATTTATTCAACCAGAAATGATAAGTCTCTTAAAAAATGCAGCACATGTTCCTGCATGCCATAATATCCAAGAATGTGTGTTTTTCTCAGAAAAAGAAATGCCTTCTAGCTGCAGGTCTTTGAATACCTGTAATGTGAACTTTGGTTCTAGAGGCCGGGCTCAAAGGTACATTATAAAAAACAGCCCAGCTGTCTCCTTTGCAGAGCAATTCAATATTCCAAAAACTGACATGTGGTATGTGACTGGCATTGCAGGGTTTGAAAAGACATGTTCCCCTGCTACATGTTTTTTTCCCTTCTTATCCTGGGATAAAGTATCATTTGCAGCCAGGAGAACATATAATTCTGGATAACAGTTTCTCAAAAGAGCCATTGTATGGTTGTTGATAGTATGTAGAAGTGCAAACTTAATGCTCATTAACATTAACAGTGGGCCAAAATTGGAAAGACGTGTTATTACCATTACAATATTATAATGTACGAATGTAATGCCATAAAATGACAAAAGAAATTGCAAAATAATACCACACAACTCTGAAAGGATAGGGGTCACATCAACTATAGCATCAATCAATAGCCAGTAACATTAATTTAGCTTTGAAGAGGGAAAAAGGTTTCACACTAATGTAGAAGTACAGAGTGGGCCATTTATATGGATACACCGTAATAACATGGGAATGGTTGGTGATATTAAAGTCCTGTTTGTGGCACATTAGTATATGTGAGGGGGCAAACTCCTCAAGATGGGTGGTGGCCATGGTGGCCATTTAGAAGTCGGCCATCTTGGACACAACTTTTGTTTTTTCAATAGGAAGAGGGCCATGTGACACATCAAACTTATTGGTAATGTCACAAGAAAAACAATGGTGTGCTTGGTTTCAACGTAACTTTATTCGTTCATGAGTTATTTACAAGTTTCTCTTTGTTCACAGCCATTGACATGTCGAAGAGGTTAACACGTGAGGAGCGGATCGAAATTGTGTTGATATCTGGTGAACGCAGTAACCAGGTCACTGCAGCAGTTTTCAATGCAAGACACCCTACGAGACCACCCATCTCCCATGCTACAGTTAGCAAACTGCTTGCTAAGTTTCGTGTAACTGGTTCAGTGTTGGATTGGCCAAAATGTGGACGCAAGAAAACTGTTACTAATGAAGAAACATCAGTTGCTGTCCTAGCTTCATTCAGCAAGACCCCACAGTGTAGCACTCGCTGCATGTCACTGGAGAGTGGCATTAGTCGAACATCCCTTCTGCGGATATTAGCTACTCACAAATGGCACCCTTACAAACTCCAGCTACTGCAGCATCTCAACGAGGATGACCCAGATCGGCGCACAGAATTTGCAGAATGGGCAAAACAAAAATTGGAACAGGACCCTCAGTTCACACAGAAGATTTTGTTCAGTGATGAGGCAAACTTTTATGTGAATGGTGAAGTTAACAACCAAAACCACCGCTATTGGTCTGACATTAACCCACACTGGATGGATCCCTCCAAGACTGTTGGAACAACAAAAGTGATGGTTTGGTGTGGTATATGG